CTAACTTGAGGAAGTTCCTTGAGATCAGAGGGAAATCGTTGAATTGTGTGGTTGGCTGCAGTGCACCTGAGTCACGCTCCCAAACCGTGATGTTCCCCAAGTTTGATACCCCTCAATTTCACGGGCCTGGCATTGCCTGGATGATGAAAGCCTTCCCAAATCAATCCAGAAAGTCCCTTTGAGATTCTCTCCATCTAAATTCTATCAATATTTGTTCAACAGGAAATGCAATTCTGTAATGACAATGGCTGATCTCTGGTACATTTGCTCACGGGGTGGTTTGCACGTTGAAGGGTCTAATTTCTTGAAGAATCTAACAATCTGAATGATTTGCCCCTGAATCAGGGGACCAAGTGATATTTAAGTAAAGTTTTGTAGAAACTGGAGGACTTCCCGTCGGATCTGCGACCCTCGCAGATGTTGATTTAGACCTGAAAAGTCTAGAATTTCGCTGGGAAATCTAGCTTTCGAGGCCTCTAAATCACTTCTGGGAGACCCGCAGATGTGACGGGAAGTCGTCCACTTGCGGAAGGATGAAAGCAATCTGCGTGTGTAAATAAATGATTTTTCTCGGGACAAACAAGACATCATATCCATAGGCTTGAGAATTATCTCAGGTAGACACAACAGGTCGCAGGCAACGGATTGCTCGTTTATCAGATAACAACCCCCATCGACTTGCACCCCTTCTGTTCGAAAGAACCGCTCTGAAGAAATAAGGATTTGTTCAATGATTAATAGATGGTGTATTGATTGAGATGTTAATCATTGAGAGGGTGGAAGTGATGCGTACATCGGCACGCTTGATACAGCATTGACTCTCCTCTTTGGCTTTGCAAAATCCCAGACCACCCACGTCGTAGTCTGATTCATAATCGAGATCAGAAGGATCGAAAACCGACAACGAGTCGCATCAGTCAAACAAATCACGTGAGGAGTGATAGTAGAGCTATTTATTTATGTTGAAGAGAATCGTCAAGAACAAGCTCCCGGGACTGACACATCGCACCACTTTTGCACACTGGGTTCGGTGCTTTCACATTCTGGACCACTGCATTATCACAATTAACTTCGGTCTCTGAGGAAGATGCGACGAGAGAGCCGACCAGCGAAAACGCGACCATGAAGGCTCCGATCAATCGAAGAGAATCCATGATGATGTTCAGTTTGTAGCTTGTATCACGATAATAATGGTCAATATGAAGCAAATTTTTGTAACGGATGTTTAAATTCTATGGAGTGCTTTGAAGTAATGGGAGGATGCTGAAAGCCGGTGAGGAACAAATGAACTGCGACTATAGAGCTTTTTATATTCCTTGTAACACTCGCTCAAGAAAAAAAAAAGCATCTGAGACCCAGAGTGACGTGTCAAGTTTTTTGAGTTGCACGTATTCTTCCGGAGACGGCCGACTGGTTTTCGCCGTTCGGCTTCCAGTTTAGGCGTCCAGTGTAGGCAGGCTGTCATTCGACACCAAGCACATATTTGTTCGGTTCGAAGGCTGAGCAGCGGTATTTCACAGCACTTCGCTGACGTTGGAGGCTCATTGAACATGTCTCTGGCGGTGGAGGCTGCTTCATCGCGTTTGTGTATTTTTAATAAGTGGTCAACAGCAGTCAGATTTGTGATGTGGTAGTGCGCGGAAACTATGTAAGTCCATGACCATCATGCCCTTCGGCGAGCACTGCATACAGCCACCGAACAACAAGCCCAATCCAACATCGGAGCACTCTCATCAACTAGCTAAACAAATCCCCTCGACAGAGGGCCGGAGGCAACTCGCGAAGCGACCCTCTGAAAGAGGGAAGGCCTTCGCGAGGGGCGCTTGCCCCAGCCTGTTAGAGGCCCTCCGATCGAGGGACTTGTTGTTAAGTTAGTCTCATCAACCGCTTCCCATGTGCGATACATTTCACATCAACCATAAACCTGGACTACGTTATAGCTTCCCTTGCAATCCCGAGTTTTTTGGGGTTTATTCGATTTCTTTTATTTCTATGTAGGCTGGGGTCGAGGTAATTAGAAGAACATAATGCTCTTGCTCACAGATGGATCTAATGGGATGCACATAGTCTAGCGAGCCTTTCCGACAAAGAGGAAAAAAAACGCTCATCGGTCGTTGAAGAATCAAAACATCTGGGGGACTACTCATTGAGATCATCAACAGTCTTTCCTTTTCTTGTGTGACCGGATCTATCAGATGATAATGTTACCTACTTTGTTTTACATTGCTGTTTGAACCCATGTATTTTATATTTAATAATTGGAAAGCCATATTTTGCAACAGGAGAAGTCGACATCGCTTTCTGGTCAAGCTCAATGGTGATTGTGGAGCTTTTTTTTTGGGGGGGGGAGGTTGAGTTGGTTGATGGTTACTGTTTTGATAGCGACTTGAAAAGAATTATACATTGCTATGCTCGGAATGTTCCATAGATTGGGTCGTTAGTTAATCAGAGTTTTGAAAGGGGTCGAAAAGGAATCATGAACTGGATTTGTTTTGCTAAATCAAGTCTTCTGTCTTTTGTTAGCCTCAGCTTGATCAACAACTTGACTGCTCTCTTCCGGAGGTTCATCGCCCTCAGCCACAGTAGCCAGATCGTGAGAGACGATAGTAGGAGAAGACTGCGACAGATCGCGAGCGCCAGCGGCGAGTTGTTTCCCCAGGCCGACGGATTGGTCGACGGTCTTGGTCACCAACTCTCGTAGTCGCAGGTCTAGTTCTGGAGATTCACTGTCGATCCCATTCGATTCTGCTTCTGTCATCATCTCTCGTACTTCCTCAATCAAGGTTTGAGTCATCGAACTCGTCGGGTCTTCTTGGCTGGTCTCCTCGCCTTGTAGCCGATCTTCTGGATCATTCGACTCTCGGTCTTCAAGTGGACTTTCTCCATTCACACTTCGTAGGTAATTGCTGACCTCCGGATAGTCCTCAAACAGGTTTTCAGCCGCCTATGAAAATTAAACATATATGTTCAAGTTGACGATCAGATCCGATGCTTTCAAATCCCATTTCAAGAAGAAGATGCCGTCTTAACTGTTTTTCCTTCGGAGTTCTTATGGCGTGGGTCACCGCCCAACTCAATAACCAATTTAGCCGTCTCAAGATCCTCGACTGAGAATAGTGGAGTGCTGATAGTTGGTTGGTTTGGACGCGAGAAGAGAAGCCTTAGTTTGACTTATATTTATAGAGCGGGTAAACGGGCCAGGATCGAAGAATATAATTGAACTCAACTCTCCTTCGTCGTCCGTCGTATTCATGTCTCCTCCTTGCGAATGTAAGTACTTCAGGACCTCTAATCTTCCCCACGAGGCCGCTGCATGTAGTGGTGTGTATGAGTTCTCATCGGCTACTGTCGGCGAAAGTCCTATCAAGTTACATCAAACCAAATCAATCCATCCATGTTTGTCATCAGTGTTCCTTTTCTTCTTCTTCTTTCCTTGAATTATTTTGAATGGCTTTGATAGAATAGGGTTTGGGCTAACCGGCCTGAATTAATTCCTAGCTTATGTTAATTTGAAAAATTCGGGTGAAAAGTGCATAGGTCATGAGAAACGCAGGGCGGCCAGATGAGAAAGGTTCGACAATCAGTCAACTGTTTTGTTTCTTATGATCTAACTAGGGAAAACAAAGTAAAGATTTTCTTTTTTTTTGGATGGAATGCTGACTTTGACTCTCTCTAGATCCCCATCACCTGCAGCTACCCAGATGTTTTTGCGCTCGGTTTGACCCCCGCATATGTTCGGCGACATTTTGCGCTTATTCTTTCCTTGTCTTCTGACCAGGAGCTTTTGATGTATGCGTTGATGGTTATCCGGAGATCGTTCTTAATGTAAAACCTAGATGGTAAAAAGAAAATAGAACCAAATTGCAAGGAAGAGATTCGAGTGGATTAGTTGGCTACTTTTTTGTGTATGGAAGTGCGCATCTCATGAGTCTATTTGCTTACCTTGTGTTGTTGGCTGGTTTTTCTGGTTCGAAACAAAGATGTATTAAGGGTGACGGAGCTTTGAAGATTTGCTCAACGAGCAATTGTAGCAGGGCTACAGTTAGACAGGGCTAGTACAACCGCCCTGTAGGCTCCCGATCGGGAGTAGGCTTCGTACACCCTGTGTAGCACACCAGGGGTACCAGTTCCGCCGTGCCGAGAGTAGGTACAGAACCCGGAGTTACGGCTCCTTTTCCTTTCTCTCGTCATTTCCATAGCCACAGGGGCTTGTCCCTGTACGACAGTCCTGTACCGCCCCCTGGGCTATGTTTGTTGTCTCTAGTTTTCTCACTCGAGGCCTATATTAATAGGCCTCTCTTTGTAGGGGCTTTTGTTCCCCAGTTCTCTGCTCTTTCGTCACCGAAATTCAGAGTTCAGCTCTTTTTCCTCATCTCTTCGCGAGTCCCTTCACCTAGACCTCCTTAGTCTGAAGAGCCCCGCTTCAGTGGTAGCGAGAGCTAAAAATTACTATTTCGACAAATCCAAAACGAAAAAAAAAAAAAAAATCTACTTCTTCGCTATAAAATCCAGCCGACGAGC